TGCAAAACACACAGAGTTGTACTCTTAGTCACATGGACTCTCAAAAGTGGAGAACAGCTCCATCTAGTGAGATTTCAGGAGGTCGAAGTGGGGAATGCAGTGATGAACATCAGAGCAATAAAGACCTGCAAACCGTGAGGAAAGTGTTCGGGGGTACGTTTGCGTCTTACGCTGTGAAAATCAAGGATCAGATTAGATGTGAAAAGACAGAAAATAGTACACGGTGAAAGGACTTTGAGTGACAGCCGAGGGATGAAGCTGCCTTTCTTTTTAGGATTAATGGAGGATGCCACTGAGGTCACGTCTTGAAATGAAGGAAAGGAAATGAGTTTTAAACAGCAAATTCAAATATTCAGAGGGCCCGATGTTTAGAGTTCTGTTTTATGGTGCAATGTCAAATAGTTTGACTTTGTAGTTCTGCCACTGTGGAGGGAGCTTTTTATAAGTTGTCAGGTAGTGAAACAGGCAAACCTACATGTCAAGTCAGCCATTAAAAGCTTTTCATTCATGATTTTAGTGCACATCATTGGAATATGCATGTATACATACATCTCAGTTCACTTACTGAGACCGATCTGTGTTCTTGTTGTACATTAGATACCAGTTCTTTTGCTTAGTATAAAAAATCTATGTGCAAATTTAACCTGAGTCACATGAGACGTCCTTAGTCTTTGAAGCCTTTTCTTTCTGTTAAACTTTATTCAACACTTTGCATAGTACGAAACTGCAAACATAACAGATAACAGAGCAGTCACAGACATTTATGTAATCCCAAAAAAGATTACTCTACTTTCACATCAGTCCATATCTGGACTTGAAACTGTTCCTCTTAAACACTGTCCTCTGCTGCTTCTTCTTCTTCTTCTTCTTCTTTAAAAAAAGGGAGATCAATTTATCTTGTAAAGCTTTAAAAAAAAAAAAAAAAGTATGATATCTCACTAGATTTAAAATAAATTCAGCATATATTTTTTTTCCTGTGTTATCCTCGAGCTGTAGTGGGAAGCACTTTCATCACAAAATGTGGGAAACTGCTGCAGCACAACAAAGGCGGGCACTATTTTGTCATTCCTCCTGGAAGGTAGCATCGGTTTCTTCCCTGATGGACTTTCAGGAATATTTTAAAAAACTATTACCAGCTGGAGAATAATAAACTATTGTTCTTTGACTTTTTTTTTGTCTTTTTTTTAACTGTTCTATTAATTGTTTGGGTCTAATTCCTGTGATGTAATGCTGCACCCTGGATTAATATGTCAGCAGGATTCAAACAGTAATAAAATCAGTCCATTTCTAGAGCAGAGAGACATCTGTGACTTTGTGAACCCGGAAAAAAAAGGAGGAAACACAACTCCTGACAAAAATGATTTGTTGTTCTCTCCGGGCGGATTAATCTCTCGGATGTCAGGTGAACTTTAAACCGGTGTGATGGACTACTTCTTAAACAAGCCAGCGGATTGTTTTAATAGCAAATCTAAAGAGTTCTCCAAACTTAATGGAGAGATTAATGTTTTATTTATTTATTTATTTATTGGACTTTATTTACATCTGCTGCCACAGTTGTCAACATCATGTGTCACAAATGGCATATAATTAGTTGTCTTAAATAAAGACTTTTTGTGGTAAGTGAAACAAAGCAGTGATTAGTGCAAAATAGCATCATATAGTGTGACGTACCATTTAAATGCAGGTTTTGGGTAATACATGATTTTATTAATTGTTTGACACCTAAATGAAATTGTATTTTATCAAACTGAATCTTTTTTTTTTTTTTACTTAAACAAAAAATGTTTCCAATGTGAAAAGATACTCGATGTTACTCAAATGTGGAAGCGTTAACTCATAGCGGTAACTTTCAGTATTTCAGGGGTTGTTTAAATCTCTCTATTCTTATGGCAAACTAGTCAAGCTTTGTATGAGTCTCAGCACCCTAGACTTGTGTAACGGCACTGATACAAGCTACTTTGGCTTCTGTCTCTTTAAAACCCCTCTTCCATTTTCTTCTGATTATGTCTGTCTTGTCTGGCTTTTGCAAAAAGAACCTAGAGTTTGTGAGCCTCACGTTCTCTGGTTGCCAGTTCAGAGGTTCAGAAAACCCCCCCAGTAAACCTATCATTTCTTGTTCTTGATTGGAAATGGCAGCTCTGCACCTCCATCTGCATGTGTTAGCACCAGAATCCATGGCCAGCACAAACATCTTAAGCAACAACGATTACAACAGAGCATGTCTGTTCTGGGAATTTTGAGCTCATTGCGTGCAAACTGTGTATATAATCTATATAAAAAAGTATCTCTTCATATATATATTTATTTATTTATTTATTTATTTTTTCATCAGATACTTAATTAATTATACCTCACTGATAACGGGTTGGACCCCTTTTAGACCCCTTTTAGACCTAAAAAGCTCTAAACCTTTTTAGGTTTAGAGCTGTTCTTGGCTGACAGGAGCGGCACCTGACCGTCTTCTGCTGCTGTAGCCCATCTGATGGGGTGCTCAGGAGGTAGAGCAGCCAGCCTTCCCATTCTACTAATGGGAAGGCTGGTGGTTTGATCTCCGGCTGCCCAAGTCTCCAGTTTACATGCCTACACCATGGCAAGATACTGAACCCCAAGTTGCTCTTGGATGTGTTCATCGGAGTATCAATGTATGTGAATATTAGATAGAGAGCACTTAGGTGTAGAAAAAGTATGAATGTATGAATGAGTGAAAGAGGCATGAGGTATAAAGCGCCCTGAGTGTCCAAGTAGTGTAGAAAAGTGCTATGCAAGAACCAGTCCATTTACCATCTGCTTCAAGACGACACGCTGCATGCTCATAGATGCTTTTCTGCATACCTTGGGTGGTTATTTGAGTTACTTCTCCATCAGCTCACAGTAGTCTAGCAATTCTCTTCTGACCTCTGCTATCAACAAATCATTTTCACCTAGAGATCTGCCAGTGAGTGGATATTTTCTCTCTTTTGGACCATTCTCTGTAAACCCTGAAGATGCTTGTGTGGGAAAATCCCAGCGGATGAGCAGTTTCAGAAACACTCAGACCAGTCCATCTGGCACCAACATCCACACCATCTTCAAAGTCACCTAAATCACCTTTCCTCATTCTAGTGCTCGGTTTGAACTTCAGCAGGTCATCTTGATAATGTCTTCATGCCTAAATACACTGAATTGCTGCCAGGTGATTGGCTGAGTAGGTATTTATTAGATTTTTTTTATATTTATTGATATATTGATATATTGATTTGATATTAACACATTAATGCGCAATTTTGAAAAAACATGTACCTAAGAAAATGGCTGGTGAGTAGTAGGACTCTATTGTTTTCTCTAACATGTTTTCTCATTTTGACTTGGGTGTAAAATTATTATTATTTTTTTTAACATTTGCTGAGCTTCTTGTATTACTTCCTCCAAAAGATGGGATCTATTGTGATGTCACAGGTCAGAAAATTAAGCAAGTAGTCAAATGTAAATCAGCCAAAGCCACCTATACAGTGCACTAGGGGTACGAATAAGGATGACACTGCATGGAAATTCAGATTTGCAGCCCAGTGAAGACACACCGACCTGATTTCCAGCTGGCTGGGATGTTTACATTTGCAGGTACCAGAAAGGGCTGGAAATAAAACTCTGACAATTTAGCTTTACTGCCTACCAAACATCACTAAGCTTGATGATTGTTTTGTAAAACAAAAAGTGTTAAGTCCTTATCTGGGCATCCCTTTAGGAGACTAACAAGCAGCAAATAAATAAAAGAGAATAACCTGTTTCCCTGTGTGCTACTTTATATCCGCGTATTATGTGGCCACTGATGGCGGGGAATTAAAATAAATAATTTAAATGGAGGAAGAGTTCTCTTAGTTGTGCAAGCGGCACACAAATGATGATTTTAATTAGTTTACCACTGTGTCCTGGGGAAAAATTTCGAGGGAAACAAACTGTTCAGCCCTTCTTGTTGGTTGGCAGTGTGCCAGATGAGATTGCTGTATGGTTTAAATCACTTTAGTGATATTTGGATTGAATCATACAACCTTAATGCAGCCAGCTGTCAACAACCTTTCATCAAATTAATTTGCCACATTGGCCAGAAGTATTTCATCGCTTCTCCCTTTAACTAAAATTGTCTTGTTGAGCTAATAAAACTGAAACACTGATGCAACACTTTTGCCAAAAACACAGGTGATATGTAACCAAACAGCTTTGTGCACTATTTTAGTTTTAATTAACCCCCAACTGATGATTTTCAATGAAGCATTCAGCATTATTTATACAGTGGGGATCATGCCAGTGTTTATGGGGGAAAAATAAAATTCAATACCATCATTACCCGCTGGTCAATTTGAGATATTTTAACCCTGAGTGAGAAATCTGGGCAGTTAAGAGAATAATTTGGGTTGGCTTATGGATTACAGGTGCCATTCCTAAGATTTTCCACGTGCACTGTTTTTATTTATTTTTTTTCATAGCCAGGTGAACCTGCAAAACCCAGATAATGCAGTAGAGCCATACACCTCATATAGACGCACATTCTGGCTGCCCTGCATGTGCTGCCAAGGACGTACAATCCACGTTGCCCACCAGAAATGACCAAGATGGGCACAAGATTTGCGCATCCTGAGCATCACAAACAACCACGCATGCTTAAACACAGGATGCAGCTCGTGTAAAACTCGTGTCAATCAGAGTTAAGTGTCAGTTTTGTGCCCAACATCATTCGCCGGGTTGGGCAAATATCAGAATTGTTTGTTGCACTGTCAGGCCCGATGCCACAAACACCAAACCTTAAGATTACATCCTCTCAACTATTTAACTACCAACTCCAATGCTAGATCGCATCCTTGAATCATCCTCTCCAGTTTGTCCTGCCTGGGCGGGGTGAGCGCGTGTGCCATCCTGGCTCCTATGGCAACCTGATAGATTAGCTCCATCAATATTCACGTTATTAGAAAGCGCGAGACTTATGGATTAGTGATGTCAGCGCTCAGTGAAAGCCAGGGGCAGCTGCGTGCATGTGTGTATTCACCTTGCGCTGTGAGAGGGCTCAGATAGGCTTTCGGGGGAGGTGGGGATCATGCTTTGTCATTGAGGAGCTCAGCAGCAGCAGCATTCTCCCACTCCGGCACGTCCGACGCTCAGCATGCTGCATCCTGATGCGCTCCCGTCTGCACTCAACGAGCTTACCTGGATTTACATGCATTTGTCGTTTGGCGCTTTTACATGAGCGTCTGATCGCAGCCGCCGCGTATTCGTTGACGCATCTCAATGTTTGAACCGGAGGAGAGCGGCACGTCCCAAGAGTCAGATAAGGTACGAACCGTCCTGCGGACCTCCCCCGTCACTGTTTTTGCCTCCAGCGGCACCCCGAGTGTGTGAGATTCATGATTCATCCCACCGTTTTCACGGGCTGTCCTTAGAGCGCAACCTCTTCTGGTTCTTCCAAATGGAGAGATTCCAGTCCTCCATGCGCAAACGGCTCTACAGCTTGCCGCAAAACATTGGGCAAAAGCCCTTTGTGACTGACGAAGGGGAGAACGGCGACAAGGACACTAAAAGGAAAAGTATCGGGCTCAAACATTTGTCCTCTCTGTCTCCCGCGAGCAGTTGCAAGAGCATTGGGGAGGCCGGGGTCGAAGACTTTGAAAGGGACGTCACCGTGAAGACCAACTTGAATGGGGACTGCCGCTTTTTTAGGGGCAGCATCTCTTCCATCTCCGGACGGCATCCCCCCGGGTCAGATTTGGCGGAGCAGAGGCGCCTCATCCCCGAGGCTGATGCTGGAGTCAACGAGAGTTTCCCCGGTGAGCACGGCCCCGGGGCCCTGCAGCGGGCAACGGGTGGGCTGACCGGCATAGTCGGGCAACCGTCACTGTTTGACCAGTCAACTTTCATCAAGTTGGAGGGCTCTGAGCAAATAATACCCGAAGATGAGCGTCTCTACCAGGCTGGCTTCATGCACCGGCAGTTTGGGGCGATGCTCCAGCCGGGAGTCAACAAGTTCTCCCTGCGGATGTTGGGCAGTGAGAGGGCCGTGGAACACGAAAGGGAACGCGTGAAGTCTGCAGGCTTCTGGATAATCCACCCCTACAGTGATTTTAGGTAATTTCTGTGCAGAAATCCTTTTTCTTTTTTTAAATCGCAAATAGTTGTGTCCTACAAAGAAGTGCTGCAGTGATCCTATCACACATTTGGCCTGCGCATGCGTTAAAACTAATAATTTAAAAACTGCCTGGAATGAATGAGCCATAAAATGTGTTAAGGGTATAAACAATAATCCCCGTGCATGCCTTTCTGTAACTACAGTGGCCATATTAGCAGCACGATAATCAGGAGTGTAAGCCTCTGCAGAACAGGTAGATCATTAGCTAAATGTGCCTCAGCCCACCTTGAGCAGATAAATGGCTTAACTGTGCAAATGGACATTTTTGAAAGCGTTGTCTACATTTTTTTTTTGCAGGGAAACGTGGTTATATCATGCATATCCAGGATATAAGTCCTTTTGCTTTCGTTGGCCCAGTTTGTGCATTTGTGTGTCCATGGTGTCATCAGGTTATGTAGAACTTAATTAACTCTTTGCACCTTTTTGCATGTATGTGCAACAAACTAAGCCAAACACAGTTAACAAATTTCCCAGCCATGCTGCACTATTTCATTGCACACCAGTATTCTGGCTAGGTCCACCACCAAAAGATTTTCCCGGCATTTAACCTTAATGCTCACTGTCATCATATTTTTCATCAGTCAGCTGTATGCCGATGTGTGCCACTGCATTTTTTTCCACTCATCTGAATTACACTTTTTTTTTTGTCATCATTTAGCCAGGGCAATGGATTACAGAGTGCAGCAGGGGCTTGGAAATGGGGTAATCAAAATAGGGTAACATGACCATTCAAGATATTAGAAGCACACATCAGTGGGAGATTATTACAGCACAATTAGTCTAATGGAGCAGAGATGGTGTGGACGGGGAGGGGACATGCCACAAAAACGCAGAGAGAGAGAGAGAGCGTGACACACACACACACACACACACACACACACACACACACACACACACACACAGAAAGAGAGATTGAAATGAAAATGGTGTGTTGTGAGGAATCAGGACGGCCAGCTGTTAACTCCGTGTGTGAGGTACGAGGTGTTGTTACTTTATGCTCACTTTGGGTCGCAGTGCGAGCAGGAGAGGCATTTTTAGTGCTTGCCATGGGTCTCATAAGGTGAACGCTTTATCCCGCAGATCCCATTTTAAGTTACAGATGCCTTTTGCAGCACCAGAGATTATTCTGAGATTTTGTGGCAATCCAGCAAAGAGGCAGCTCCGTCCCCTGCTTGTGAGCTGACATACCGTGCGCATCCATGACAGTCAGCAAGGCATTGTATAACCGATGTACAGTTTCCTGTTATCTTCCTATAGGCACACACAATCTGATGTTTTTATCAAGTAACTGCTGTTTTTTTTTCATTCTAAAGCTTTCTAAGGATACAGCAGCAGACACACTGAACTGGCACACTGCGTAAATATGGTTAATATGATTGCTGGTGGGCCTGAGCCACAGTACAGGTGTGTGTTAAGCCACTGAGCTGCATGCAGGCTGTTGTGTTTCAGCTGCACTCTGGCAGCAAGAGATAAGTATCTCTAGTACAAATGTGATCCCTTTTTCAGCTGTCCTGATTGATCTAAGCTCCTTTCACCATTTTAAGCCTTTTTGTGTTCACTTTGCTTGTAACTCCCTTCTCTTTTTTGCTCTCATGCTCTTTAACGTAGTTGCACTCTGACCTCAATAGTGCAAGATTTTGTCTCTGGACCAGTCGAGGTCCACAGACCGTACAAGCAGCAGCTTTGTTTCGATGGTAACATCAGATTACACCAGCCAGTTGTCTGTTTTGCGGTCTGAATTCTGCGCGCACAGGCAGCCGATGTTCCAGCAGGGTGGTCAGCAATGTACCGTCCTCTGCAGACCTTTTTTTTTTTTAAATAAATAAATAAATAAATGAATAAAATTATCCAGCTGTTCCAGCGCTCTGCAGCACAGTGACGTTTGCAGAGCAGTAATGCTAACTACTCAACATCTGGCTGATGGGTGCTGACTTCTGGAGATGACATGGATTCACAGGAGATAACGGTGGATTTAGCCAGAGAGAGGAAGCGCAATTAGGACCAGTGTGTCACTGCAGAAACAACGGGCAGATGTTGAGAGAAATGCAAATTCTTTGTTTGGCAAAGAACAACAGAAAGCTGATTAGAACAAATGGCCACCGTGCCCTCACTGGTTTCTAAATTTTGTCACATGTGACTGTGAACGTTTTGGGTGTAAGTAAACTAGAAGAGCTAGAAGTGCATTCACCAGATTCCTCTGCCTCTTTCCGCCGTGTTGTCCTCATTCGACTCTAGAATGTTTTCCATCACCAGTAACACAATGCAGCACCTGTAACTCATCACAACAGCAACCCACTGGGAGGTATCACCTCAAAAAGCAAATATTACATATAATATTGTGGTGAACCTGGCATGGATCAAACAGTGACACTCTGAATGACTGCTGCATCCTTTGCACACAAAAAAATGTATAAAGAAAAAGCATAATTAAGTCTTAAGAAAATGCAATTCAGTTTACCTTTGAAAATAAATGTATTGCTTAAAAGAAAAAATTAACTAAGAAAATTAATAAATGCATAAGCTAATTAAAAGCTCAGATCCTGTATATTTTAATGTTTATGAATGTATACGAATAACTTTAAAGCTTTTAAAAGAAAAAAATATTTTGGCATGCTTGAGCCTCCATATACTTTTCTTTCCCCCCCCATTCATGGAGAAAACGCTAAAGTTTTAAATATACCTGCTGATGAGATGATGAGATATTTGGTTTCTTAACCTCCAGCTAGCGTGCAGTTTTTGCTGACCCTGCATGTTTGTCATGGTGATATCAGTTGTTCATTTGTTTTTGTTTTGTTTTTTGACACGACTCACTCATGTAGAACTAGATTAAAAAGAATGAGTATATCAAATAGCTGGGAAACATCAATCAAGAGTCAGAATAGCTTACAGTGAACTCCAATTAGCCATATTTCTAAATTTCATAAGAACATTTGCTAAATAAAAGAGTTCTGTTTTGTGTGTAAATGACTAGTAACAGGCAGTTTTCAATGAAACTGAACACACTGCTGCTGATACTTTTGAAAATCAATATGTATTCATGAGTAATTCAAATGAATTCCCAATAACCTTTGTCACTCTTTTCCCATTTGGCCCACTCTTTAACTGAATCAGAGAATAATTCTTTGCTTGTTTACATTGTTTCTGCTCATTCGGACAGAACTCTGCTGGGTTTTCAGACTGTGTGAAACAGCGAGGTTCATTTCTATAAGTAGCCAGAATCACTTTGAATTTGGAGCACATACTCACACATACTTGTGTTAAGTGTTTTGTGTAAACTAAGCAGCGAACACTAATTGGCTTTGTATTGATAAAATGTTCCCATCAATACATCCCTGTTTGTTTTAATACAAAGTTCAAACAGATGCGTTTTTATTACCAGTTATTCTGTCCAATTCTTTTCTTAACTGAAGGCAAAAAATGCTCATTTTGAATTTTCAAATCCACAAGCAGGATATTCCTATTTCTTTGGTCACCCAGAAACATTTCATTTACATCAGTTTTGCGTTTGTTTAGCTCGGCTCTTATGACAAAAGTATGACATTTGCAATCAGGTTTTCTGCCGTGCTGAGATTTAATACCAGCATGTGTTTATTTAGATTCTGTTTTTAAACTAAATTAGTAACCAAATTGCATCGCATTTATGAGCTCCTACTATAATTGCTTTTCTTGGCCTGTTGTCATTGTTAGTGCAAGTTTACCTTTCGAATGAAACTAGGTCATTTAGCATAGACCACAACTAACACCTGCAACCTAATATCATATGATAAATTAAATTAAATTTGATCAAAAGAACAGAGGAAAGTCAACACATGAATTTGTTCCTTTCACCAAAATGTTGTCGCCTCTAAATCTTTATTTTTCTGTGTATTATATCAACAACATCACTTTGGCGACCCCAAAGAAGTTTTAGCCAGACCTACAGGAGATTATATCCTCTGTTTACATCAAATAAGAAGAAATAAGCTGTTTCTGTGCCTTAATGATGCTGGCCTGCTATGGTGTGAGTCACATCCAACTGTCCATCTTTCAGGTTCTACTGGGATCTGACAATGCTGCTGTTGATGGTGGGAAACCTCATCATCATCCCCGTGGGCATCACCTTCTTTAAGGACGAGCACACGCCGCCCTGGATAGTCTTTAACGTCGTGTCGGACACCTTCTTCCTCATGGACCTGGTCCTCAACTTCCGCACGGGCATCGTCAAGGAGGACAACACGGAGATCATCCTGGATCCGCATCAGATCAAGATCAAGTACCTGAAGAGCTGGTTCGTGGTGGACTTCGTCTCCTCCATACCCGTGGACTACATCTTTCTTATCGTGGAGACGCGCATCGACTCGGACTTTTACAAGACGGCCCGAGCTCTGAGGATCGTCCGCTTCACAAAGATCCTCAGTCTGCTACGGCTGCTGCGCCTCTCCAGACTCATTCGCTATATCCACCAGTGGGAAGAGGTAGATGAAGATAGCCCCATACTGGCTAGCTTCAACTGACTGGTTGGATATTTAAAAGATTTTGTCACAGTCTTAAAAATATTAGTCGATAAAAATGAACAAATTCACAGGTTCTAGCTTTTTAAGTGGGAATATTTTTTAAGTCTTTTAAGTAGTGGGGCTGATATTTAGTGAATTTCTTACAGAATTTTCCAGATTAATACCTGCAGCATGCTCTCAGATGCTTCTCTCATTTCAAAGGGGACGTCTTGTGCTCATTTCCACCTTCATCCTTATATTCCAGGACTCTACTGGAGTAGCTTTGCATGGTTCACAGTTCAAAAGTAATCATTGTTTACCAGTCAGCCAATTTATCAGTTCATCCTCTTCCTGACACAAACTATTTTACATTCTCTCCCTTTAGGCCAGCTTTCCTCTCATTGGCTGTCTCTTGCAAATAGAAGGTTTGAAGAGCAGCAGAATGAAGGAGGAGTGCAGAAAAAAACTCAATCTGAAACCAAGCGTTTACAGCTGCCTGAAGTCTGATCTCATTTTTTTTAAAACTTTCTCCATGTTTAATGTGCACATCCATCTTTTTAACAGTACAGGTTTCCCTTGAGGCACCGTGCATACTAAGGTTTCTCTCTCATTAACAGATTTCTTACACTTTTGCTCTGTTTGTGGGAAAAAAAAAGTGCTGCTGCAGAGTTAATTTGTTGGCTCTGCGTTTAAACACACTTACACACAGTCAGCTTACTCAATAAGAGATATTATCCGCATTATTATTTTTTAGATGTTCCATCCCCATCAGCCATTAACGTTACAGATGGTTGCTCTGAAATAGCCTCTGGTAGTCTATAGAAGATTAAGTGTGGTTCGGTATAGTTCGCTTGCATCCATCAACACCATCATTGCGGTTCCTCCTGTTTATTTCAAATCCTCTGTTTGCGTGCATGGGTGTTAACATTTTATAGAAGAGATATGAGTCTTTTATTATCTCTCTTTTTTTTCTCTCTCTCTCCCCCTAATTCTGAAAATCTGTGTCACAGGTTTTCCACATGACATACGACCTTGCCAGCGCCATGGTGCGTATCATGAACCTGATTGGTATGATGCTGCTGCTGTGTCACTGGGATGGCTGTCTGCAGTTTCTGGTTCCCATGCTGCAAGACTTCCCCCAAGACTGCTGGGTCACCAGGAACAAGATGGTGGTAAGTGGATTATTTATGAGTCAGACAGCCTCCAAAACGTGTTCCTCCCCAAAACACGATGAACCACATGCAGACATTTATCTCTAAGTGTCATTAGTTATCGGTTTGAGAGCGCAGATTAAATTAACGTCAACAGGTAGCACGTTTAATCTTTATATCCAGTTTTCAGTCACACATGTTTTTCAAGAAACATTTTGCAGAAATAGGGTGGTTTTTATTTATTTGCAAAGCTGTTAACACCTCCTAAAGAAGATGCTGTTGTTTAGGCATATAAACTATGAAAAGGTCATCGACCACCAAAACCAGTGCTTTATTTTGCTGGTTTAGTTTTTAAATAATCTGGATCTGCATCATTAATTTCTTTCTTTTTCTTTCTTTTTTTGCATAATCTTGTTGACACACCACCAAACAATAATGAAAAATTTCACATGGGCAACATTAGAATTGTTGGAGCTAAGTTTTTTGTTTTAAATCATCACATTACAGTAGGTAGAGCAGAAACTGAAACAGACCTACCCATAAAGGATGTTTTGTAACAGTTGGGACATACATCTGTGTTCACGTCCATAAAATCAGATTAAGCTGATTTAGACGTGATGTACGATGACTCCGTAATGTAGTGGTTTACACATTCAGGAGAGCCGTCCGGTGTAAAAATCTAACAAATCAAATATTTCCTGAGCCGCTGGTCGTAGATAGCCATACGCTTTATCTCTCCTCCTCTGCATCCCTTTCAGAATGACACCTGGGGTCAGCAGTACTCCTACGCCCTGTTCAAGGCCATGAGTCACATGCTGTGTATAGGGTATGGCCTGTACCCTCCTATCGGCATGGCTGACGTGTGGCTCACTATCCTCAGCATGATCGTGGGTGCCACCTGCTTTGCCATGTTTGTGGGGCATGCGACTGCACTCATTCAGTCTCTGGACTCCTCCAGGAGGCAGTACCAAGAAAAGGTGGGTGTTTGCTGAAAAATCATCCACAGTTTTACTTCTGCTATAACACTTCTGTTCCACTACATTTCATAAGGTAATATTATTTAACTGTTTCACTTATTACATTATCAAATTATGAAGTGTATCAAATTCGGTTCTTTTCTGAATTCTTTTGCCAACAGAGAAAGAAAAAAGAAAATTATCATCAGTTCATAAAATGTGCTTTTTTAGGTTAAACTGCCAGCTATATTTTTTAAGTTCTAGCTTAAATAGGGCCTTTATTTACTTAAACCTTATTTATAATGAGCGGCTACAGCAGTCTGAAGCCTGCGATTTTGAGTCAGAGGGGTTACTTGCAAATATGCTGACCTCATTACTTCAAACTGTGGCCACATTTAATATGAGTATTTTGCATATATATATATAATATATATATATGAACAACAATAAGCTTAAGCTTAAAAGGCAGATTACAACGGTAAAATGTGCATCAGTGTGTGAATGTGTGTGTGAATGGGTGGATGACTGGATGTGTAAAGCGCTTTGGGGTCCTTAGGGACTAGTAAAGCGCTACATAAATGTAGGCCATCATCTTAAAAAATAAAAAATATGAATACTATCCTCTAATATTATTATTATTTGATATCATATATTATTAGGTACAGGAGAAGAGCTTTTTTTCTTTGTGATGTATTTTAATCTGGACATCTACCTAAGTGCAATTTTTAATGCAGGATTTCTGTTTTATATTTCAATTTTGCTGCTTTTCACTAAGTGACAGATCTTGAAGGGGAGAGTAAACCCACTTTTTTGTTTGAAAAAACATGTTTTACACACCCACGTATAGCTGCCGTTAACTTTTCATTTGGGGATTATGGGAAAGGACAGACAAACTGCAACATGACACAAAAAAGACAGACATGGCAGTGCATTATCAAAAGCAGAGCTGACACTTACAGCTGGATTTACCATGCATAGACAGGATGCATGGACCATATTTGGTGCTTTGCTGCTAGAGTACACTGCTGAAGGACACAGTAGTTAATGTTATTAGCTGCAGCCTGCAGAGCACAACTGTAATTGTCAGATGGGGCAGAGTCACAACATTGCACTGTGGGCAGGTTTCACAGATGGCCTGACAGTTGACTGTTAAAATAATGAGACACATTATATTCCTACCTCTGAGCCAACACATCAATCAGTGTAATATATTCATTTTGACATGACTTTGCATTTTGTCTCACGGTTATGTTACGTTACATTTGCAGCCTTCTGTTACTCTAATCAACAGGAATATATATATATATATA